TTTGAATCTAGCGCATCCTCTAGTCTCTCCAGTATGGTGTGGCATAATATTTTGTTTGGGGTGAACAGGACCAGGAGCATGATTCTGTGCCAGTTCTTGCAGAGACTTAGGTCTCCCTTCTTTGGAAGTTTGACAAGGTAGCCCTTCTCACAATCACCAGGTACATTCCCCTCCTTCCAAACCTTCTCCAGTAGTTGTGTAAGCATGTTCGCTGTTGTCTGTGTCTGTTTTCACTGCTTCTGGTGGAATTCCATATGGTCCTGCTTCTTTCCCTCATTTCAGTAACATTATGGTGTTCAGGACTTCACTTCTGCTTTCGTCGGAGGGTCTGTGTACACTGGTACTTCTGTGGCTGGGTTGCTGGTGGTATTTCTGGACGAGTTGCAGGTGGTGGTGGTGATCGACCTAAGAGCTTTTTGAAGTGGTCATCCCATTGTTTCCTTCGTTTCTCCTCCTCTTTGGTAACTAGCTTTCCTTCACTATCTTTCAGTGATCCCATCTGCGTTGATCTCTTCCCACCCGGATAGTTAGCTGGTTATTTGATATAGTGTTGTCAGGTCTCTGGCTCTCCTACCACCAGCCTGTTCTCCTTCATTTGTCACACCACTAATAAGAGGTGCATAACGAGAATTATCAACTGTCTTTTGATCATTGGCTTTATCAATCAGTTAACATGGACCTCTACCTCAGCTTTCCTGTGACGTACAGTATGACGCCGAGAATGCCCAATGGGTGTGGAGGATGTGTTGCGGTCTTTCAAGACCATTATGGTTGACATATCACGAACTGTGAAGTTTGTCGTTGACGACAGTGCAGCGGAGCTGTTCACAGTCGATTCCTCTCCTGTTCCATTGTCTTGTGCGGTTTTCATGCTTTGCGCTCTTTCAACAAGAATGTAAAATTACGTTCCGGGAAATGATACATATTTATGACCGTGACAGTTATCCCCATCAACATATAATAATTTCTTATATTTCATGAATTGAGCCGTTCTATGAGAGCAGAATATGTAGCAGCATTGTCCTAAATCGACACCAGTCTTTGGGCCAGTCAGTATATGTGAACTGTATGCCTCATGAATAATATCGTTACCCTAGGTAACAAGACAAACAACAGAGTTTAGTGTTGCCATATGCACTTGAAAATACATTTACGTAAATGCTTTCCTCTAGAGTTGAGAATTCGGGAAGTTTTAAATGCTCCGTCGAACTATATCAGGGGATGGAAAATGAAAAAATCACAGTTTTCAATATTACATGCAGCTTGATGTAAGTCCATCGTTCGAATCTTTGTAACTACAGACGGACGAAATAATCTCTGGTGTGTTGCATCCTCCAACAAATTACATAGCATATTATGTGTACAAAACTATACTGACGCATAGAGATATGCAGGTAGCTGAATCAACAGACGCCCGGATAGTCATCCAAGGAAGACACAAGTACTACATGGTCGATAAATATGGTCGCAAATGCTCTGCTGCATCAGTACAATAATGCTGATGTCCTGCCGTCGTTTGACTCATATGCATGAGTTTCTGTCTCGTGATCTGAGTAAGTCATCTGAGACGTTAATTCATTTTGCAGGTGTATTCCGACACTACAGGATGGTTGTGAGACTACAACCGCGCATATACTGAACGTAACCAAAGGACTGTAGACATTGGAGAAACACGAATGCTCACTTCGACAATGGTGTACGAAATGCAGTTATTGGCTCAGGCAAACCCGGAAAGAGCATGTAGACTGATGTTAGACGTGTACGCTAGAGCTTATGAGGAGCGCCACCAACGATTAAGCTTCAGTAACCTCACAAACTGTTGAATGCCTACTAACTACTTATATACATATTGTTCCATTCCCTAAATAAATTTTCAATACATTTAAAGTATTTCCTTTCCCCGTTCACTGAAGCGGAAAGTAGAACAGGTTATGGTGACAGCAGTATAAATGGAGAGATTTGTGTTGCTGTTTTATGACCAACAGGTATAGGTATTTAACTAACAGCCAGTGCGTAATACTTTCGAGACACGTTCCGTCAATGAAAGTCTGAATAGTTAAGTAGTATCATTAGCCCTCAGACAGAAGGTGTACTTTCTAAGCTCAGTAACTACAACGTCACTTATTTGACGCTCATGCCACCTAGATTTGTTTTCATTTCTGTGTATTACTTATAAGTAGTAAGGTTCGGAGTTGGGGATTTCACTTTCTGTGCAATACATAGGACTCAATCAATATATTCAGCTGTGTTGTTCAATCAGTATTTGTGGTATGATATATACAAAAGATCTGCAATAACAATCTATCATACATAATTAAAATCTGTTTTCGGTGAAAAATTACAGCAATTACTGACATTTCTTATCTGTGACTTGAACGTTTATTCATCTAGTTAGATAATTCAAAGTGTTTACTTTTAACATTTCGAAACGTCTTTTCTAAGTTCTCTTCCTTGTTCATACTGACAACAATTCTAATTCACTTCTATGGTCTTCTTAATGATATGTCGATTTACAATTACTTCGTCAGATTACACGATTTGTTTTTGAAACCTGACCATCTTTATTCATCACACAACATTTTGTACATATTTATTACCCTCAGCATTTTTGATGACAACTTGTTCTACTAAAAGATATATCCAAAAAATTACTCTGAGTATCAAATGCATTACACATATTGACAACAGAAAATGCTTATTATTCCGACTGTACACCTACAAAAAAGATAAAAGTTGTTTCCTCTGGGTAACTGTAACTCAGCTGTGTAGTATTTCAACTGTCTTGATACCAAAACTGAACTAAAACAGAGAATCGTGAATCCTTCCACGTATAAACGAACTATGAATGTATACTCAAAGCCAGAAGTTGTGGCTTATAGGGTCAACCAAATAGGATGGCATTGGTTTATGATCGTAAGTTGGCAGAATTAAGAAAATGTAGTCCACTGAACTTCAACCCAGAAAGTGAGCGGTCATGTGCTCGCCACGAGACCTGGCAGTCATGAAGCTCGAACCTTGGCACGCACTGATGAGGAGTTCCATAATAAAAAGAAACGGTTATCCAGTACTCTTAGGTCTTCAATGGTATTATAAATTAAATCAATCCATGACATATACTAACTTGAACCTGAATGTTTGCCTGTCAGCCTGCACCACTGGAGACTCATGTGACTGGTACAAACATTCTGTTGAAAAGAATAGTAGACCTTGTAAACAAATTACAAGAGAAATTCGATTTGTTTGGAATCCAAGATAGAATCATGGACCATTCGTTATATGAAGTAGGTCACGAAATCAAATCTAACTCCACAAGACGATTTTTTGGTCGTCCGGTAGCATCACAACCTTCACCTTGGTACACACGGACAACAATATGTGAAACGAATAAACATCCAACTTTAACCAGTGTAATGAGAAGACGAAGCTTACCTGAAACATGTAATGTATCAGCGTTATACATTTCAAACAATTTGATCACATATAGACTGGCCGAACCATTGTTATGAAACTTAAGGAAAAGGGTCAATTTAGTCAACAGAAGGGAAGAAAAAAAAATCTAAATCACATCACTTTTTGTATGCAAATCAAATCCAATAGTACCAAGGTAGGTTAAACGTGACGACAAATTACTTTTGTATACATAAAGAGGGTTGGAATTTACGAATGATAATAGCTTCGGCACTGACCAAGAGTGATGTGATTTAGATTTTTTTCTCTACCCTTCGTATTGACTTAATTGACCCTTTTCGTAAATTTTCATACAAATAGTTCGACAAGTTCACATATGATCAGATTGTTCGAAATGTATACTGCTAATACATTACACGTTTCAGATAATCATCTTTTCCTTACGCTGTTTAAATTTATCAAAAGGACCAGTTGCTTTAAACACCCGACTATTAGTTAGCCCACACAGTTGATCACTGTTACACAACTTCCTTACTAATTTAAGGATGTTTCACAGCACTGTTATAGGCAGCAAGTAATTTAATGTTTTGTTTCAATATTCAAGATGGAGATCGACTTTCAGCGACTGTTACTAACTGGTTTAAGCTTTTTCAGAAATACGACTTAACAATAGTACGATCGAATTGCTATTAACGAGAAGTTGGAAAAAAACTGTTATCTGATACAGATTTTATTTACTAGTCTACGATGCACAACTACTGTACGATAGTTATAGTGATCATGGTGACTAGCAGAGGAATGCAGGACGCGCATTTCGTCCCATTTGGTACTCGTCAGGTGGATGTGCCTGTACTTCAGTGAGCGTTGTTCCCACCGAGGCTCAAACCTAGTATCCAACGCTTGGAACGTCAAAGCGTTATCCACTAAGCCATCGGAGTACGATAGCCATCTCTTATGAAATGGATATCAGTTGTCTGACAGCTTATATCAACCATATGGTTTACACGAAGTGGATGAAGTAGTGTTTGCACTCAGGATTCATTAGCTGAAACTCAGGTGATTAAACCAGTGACTCACAGCTTCACTATATCCGCTGCACAAGAGGCGGTTCTCAGTAACCTATTGGATAATGGTCCGGAGTTTAATGCAACAGATACTGGGAACATCATCATTCACTGGAATACACGTACATCCAACTGACGAGTTCGGAATAAGAGGAAACGTGCGTCTTGAATTTCTCTGCTAGTCAGTACTAACCATATGACTTCACCATATATAATTAGGTTACACTGTGTACAGTTATTTATAACCAACTGGTGGAAAAAACCTTACTGAACTCATACTTCTCATATGGTTTACAGAAAACGCATATGCGTTCTTTTGTCTCCCTGGGGAATCCAGTCATGAGTCATACGATTCAGGATTTATCCTATTAACATTGATCTATCTATGTAATAAGTCAATATTGTTAAACCTTAGACTATCCCGTTCATAGCCGAGTGATAGTTATTGGGTTGAATTATTATACTTACGAACAAAAAGCAGGAACTACTCTCAAAGTGTTGTAACGCAGTAAAAGAAAGTATCTTGTTCCCTCAAAAATAATATTGAAAATTCATAAGAAACCAAAGCCATTTACCAGAATATATAATATAAGACTTATGGTCATAAAATGAGACTGTGGAAAAGTATAGTTAGCCAACTTTAAACAGAGGTTTGAAAAATAAAAAATTTTCAAATTCGGCACAGAAAACACTACAGTAATATTGTGATGCACCTAGAAACATTTTTCACAATTGATAACAATATTACTCAGGAAGTGTAAGACTCGTGTGCACATTTCATGAAGATACCTCTTCGCCAGTTGCCTTCGGTTGATGATCAGTAGTTTCTGATTTTCTTGCATGCCCATCAGGACCTTCTTGATCTGTTGTGGTTACTTCTTCAGCTCCTTTTTCCACGTCACTAATCTCTTCTGTTTTATTCTCATTAGGAGCATATTGTTCACCATTAGCTGCTTCTTCTTCTTCTTCTTCTTCTTCACTTAACCCATCACCATCATCTGAATCGAGTGCATTTTTCGGTAATGAGTAGATGCGAATTACCGGCTAAAACATGAAATGAATAGTATGTTAAGAGGATGTGATCATTATCCTGATATTTGCAATAAAGGTCTCTATACAAGGAGGATAATAAAAATCACTAACTCTCTTTCTTCATCAAGAAAGAAGATTCAATCTACATAACCTTTAAGGTGATCAAACAGCGAAAATATAGATCAATAAATGCTGTTTATTAGCAGGATATATTTGTGGATCACACACATTTTGTGATGGATAAATGTATTATGTATCTGTTTCGGTAGATGGTGTCTTTGTAGCATAGGATCACCATGTAAGCAGTGTTGAAGACGGATGAAAGGTACTGAGTGAAGGAAGGCAAGTCAATTAATGAGGTTGTGAATCTTTAACGACTGAGATGCCTTGGACAATTACTGCGGATGCTGAGCCATTGCCTACCTCGACATGCCATCCTTAGGGAAGTTGGATTAGTTTGAGAGAAGGTTTAGAGTGACCAGATCAAGAAGTGGCAACAGTTGATGAAGTCCTTGACTATTGGTGTGAGCCGTGTGGGGAATGTATCGACTACCTGGCGGAACTCCTCTCCACATGATACCAATCAGCGACTGAGGACTCTTGGTGACATGGCTAGAAATCGGTCACCGTGATGCAGACGTGTTCACTCTCGTCTTCATATCTTCTAAAGCTTGAATGCTCACACTAACTTTTATCTTCAAAGTATTTATTGTCATACAACTTTGTCTACTTTGATATCACTCTTATTCGATAAACCTCTTCTTTGTATACTACCGTGAAATACGGCAAAATGAACCGATGCACTTGGGTGCGAGATTCTACGTTGATTCTATCCGCTTGTCATTCATTGAGTAACTTTAGCCAAAGCCAATATACCTCAGTTGTATTAACGCTAGCTGTTTTGTAATTAACAACATCAACATTATTATAATCATAAAAGAAGCCTACACACTATCAGCAATAACTCATAAATACATGCACAAACCTTATTCGGATCTTTTAGCATAAGATATTTGCCATCAGGCATTTTCATGAAGAAGTCAATAACACATCTTAGTATACCCCATGCATTATCCATATTTAAATTCAATTGACTAGCAAACTCTGATGGTTTAAACTGTTGAGTTCCAAGTATGACATGACGAGCAGAATCACGAGGATTAACACGTGAAACAAAGCTGGAGAAGTTAAGCAAACGAGAAAAAAAAAAGTCTTATGAAGCATTAAATAATACTTGAATATGTTAATGAGACTGATTAGTCATTTTAGTTCCTGGAAAATTCCTATTTCAATTCAAAAACTATTTGAAGAGAAATTTTCAACTGTCTGTTATTATTAACAGGCTACTAAGTGAAATTTTAACATAGTCGACGCAAAATTACACCATTTAGATATATAACTGTAGGATTTGAAGAAGAAGTTATCAAAAAGAATATTCTTCGTTCATCCGTATGGTTTTTGAATAGTCATTTTCTGGAATATTATTATATCTGAAAAACTATCTCCAATCTATCATGACTGGGATGTGATTATTAAAAAAACTAATGATAAATTAGAAAATTCATAGAGTAAGGTACTGTTATAATTCAGAACAACTTTGAGTTCAGTCTAGACTAGTCAACTAATATCATCCAACAACCTCGACTTGATCATTCACAGGTAGTCAAGGTTACAATTGGTCATTGTTTCATTCTGTACAGAGATTCAATGTGTGCAATCGATTGAAAGTAGAGTTTTATTGGTTCGCTAATTCATAATACTCGAATTCTTATGGTTATGAGATTATTGGTCAAATAGATGATACGCTAACGAACTTAAAAGGTTTCTGTGCTCAAAATATTAAAACCACATGAGTTTCCGATTCAAACCTCTTTGCATGTGTTTCAGTTCAAGCAACCAGGTAATATCATAAGCCCTCGTGTAGCTTATAGTCTAATACACAAACATTCATAACGGTTTGAGTTGGATCTTAATACCACAACAATTGCTTAAGGGAAATGTCCAATAACATAGAATCGACATGTTCGATACTGTCTTTATACTGATGCTATGTAGGAAACTGGTTTTAACACTGAGAAAAGGCTCAGGAGGGGGGGCGTCAGACTAAAATATGGCTTTTAATGAACGACGTCTTTGACTGTTGATTTGAGTCATTTTGGGAAGTACAGACTAGCCGGTTGGGGTCCGCGTCACAACAGAAACCACTAGCTGGAAACTCTAGATGATGTAGCTCAGAATCGACGTCAGTGGCGCAGATGTACCTACACAACATCTTCACCTCAACGGCTACATACTGAATTCTGCATTTTCTCATCCATTCTTCCTCTCTTTTACCGGTTTATGCTACTTTTAAACAATTTTCTTCTATCTCTTTATTTTTCATCTTACTACTTTGTTACTTGTTTTGTTGATATGAGGTGTGACAACTTGGACCGTTGTACAGTAATACCTGGTCCTAAGCTGATATTGAGTGGTTGATTGGGCCGTCATATCACCAAGCACAGGAATAATACAATATCTGTATATAGGTCACAATATTTACCAGAAATACATGATGCAAAAGGCATAGATAATAATGCCAAGTTGGCAGCAGCATATGAATACAAATGTACAGTTTAAGATGGCGGGGATCGATACTTAATCCCTTTTCTTTTATGTCGCGTTATCTTTTGAGTTGCTTGTGGATGACAAAGTAGCAGTTTAGACTAGTTTCACAATCGTCTCTAAATCTAGGTAATACAAATTATATTTGGATGAGAACTTTACATCAACTTACTTCTTAGAAGCTGTGACAGTTAGTTCTCTTTGTCTCACTTAGAAAAAATATGTTAATGAAACTTTATTACAACAATTACTCTCTCTAAAAAAAAGCATATCGAGATCTTAATGCCTCCCTCTATAGGAGTTCTTCACAAGAAAATTGGAAGACATTGATTCATTTAGTTCCTAAAACTTTATCCGGTATATTCCGATCCATAAACAGATAGATAGGAAGGATAACAATATCCTAATCAGATTGAAAACTCAACACAAATCTACTGTTCTAAACCGATCACACAAATAGGTGACAATATTCTCAGTATAAATGTCAGCTGAATGATGTATTAAATGTGTCACAGTAATTGTAAATAAGATTGTGTGAAACATTTGCTTCTTGAATATTGCTGCAATATACCAATGGTGTATCAAAATAATATTTGATGGGTTATATATAGTAAATGATTCTGGAAGCTTGACTTCATATGTTGAACTTTTACGATTGACTACTTTGCATTAGGGAGTTTTAGCCGTAGAATAGTTGTACAAAATCCTAGACTATAAAGTGATAGTTCATCCATGAGTCTCTAACGAAGAAAGTTATTTAAACCACAATCCACTTGTACTAATCTATATACGGTTTTAATCCTGTGAACACGTAGGGCAATGAGCTAAGCATCCTAGGAATACCTAGTTTTGGTTAACCGCTTGACTGGTATTCACCAATTGTAGATGATTTAAAACAAGGCAGTAAAGAAGCCAAGGATTCTTTGATAGTGTACCTAAAAGAATGGAACTACAACGAGGAAGGTGAATAGGCTTTGGGAGTGCTCTCTTTGGGAACAACTGCTTTCTAAAGAAAGTGCTTCAGCTGATTGCCACGAACAGAAAACTAACCTTTTACGGCACAAAGCCACAAACGACATGGTAGTGCTGCTCACACCTACCACGCATCCCTGGAATTCGTTTTAAAAGACGGAGTAATTCAGGTGTGTTCTAAATACGGTCCAATGTATCTAGCGGTGCTAAGGCACTTTTTTTATGTCCTCTGTGGTGAGACACTTCTCTTACATTTATTTTTCTTTTGTGCCTTTTTTTATCAACCACACTGCCTTACAAAACAATTCCTTTTGCATGGACTCAATTAACTAGTTTTTGAATGCTGCTCAATTGCATTGTAATACAATCCGAATGCACTAATCCATATGAAAAACGAATTTGAAATGAGGAAAAATATTTGTAGCTCAGATGGATGATCTTGGTTGTGTTGTGTTCTCTGAGCTGGGTGGTTTGGTCGTGAAGCTTTCAACGTCTTTCTAGACATCATCAAAATTAACTTCAATGTGAAATGAGCTGTCAATATCTCTTCGTATATGTTTCAGTAGCTTGCCCTGACGAAGTGATTTGTGATTGGTTGCTTCCTTTGGTTTTTTGTGCCATTGACAAACCGCATAGACTTCCTTGTTGCCTGTTTCCTTGCTTGACTTTTGATCTTTTTACTGTTTGTAATTTTCTTTATTGGTTTGTAGATTGGGTCTATGTCTATACATCTGTTGATTACTGACTGACTGACCTGAATGACATGCTTCTAAGAACTCTCTCGTATTTTTGTGTTTACTCTGTCCAAAATTTCTACATTGTCGAAATGGAATTCATGTCCATAGTTATCCACTTGCATTCAAATGAATGATGAAATGTCGTGTGTGATATTTAATGGCCAATTGGTGTTCATGCAGACTAAGACAACAGGGCGACCACTTTGTCCAATGAAGTGTTGATCACAGTTATTCCAGTTGGTATTTGTAAATGATATTCAGTTTATCTTGTTTGGTTGTTGCATCCTTTGATCTGCATAATAGTGTTTGGAGGGAATTTGTTGGCTTATGAGCCACACGAATTCCAAGTGGTTTCAGTAATGTTGTCGTGATTTCTGATTTATTCTTTATGTATGGTAGGATGATGCGTTTGTTCATTTCTGTCGATTACTTCGTAGTTGATGTTGTACAGGATAAAATTTCGTGGGTAGCCGTTCTTCTTTAGAATCGACATCAAGTAATTTTATTCGTTTCTGTGTGAGGCTGTTGTACTGCAGTGTGTTCTTGCTCTTTTGAAAAGAGTATGCACGTAACTAATTTAGTATGTTGTTGGGTTGTTACTACTGTACTTGAGGATTTAATCAGTGGGTGTTGGCTTCCTGTACACTTGGGTTCCCAGCTCTCCAGCATTCGTTCTACTGACTAAAACATCCAGGAATGATAGTTGGTTGTTTGACTCTTTCTCCATTGTGAATTTGATGTCACTGAAAAAGTTGTTGGTCAAACTATGTTTTCTATGTCATCTTTTTTAATGATGATAAAAGTATTATCTACATAGAGAATCCAAATTATGGGTTTAATCACAGGTAGAATGAAGGCTTCCAGTCTCTACAATTAGTCCGGATAGCGGTGATCCTATTGGAGTTTCGTTCATCTGACTGTATATTTTGCCACTGAATTGGAAGTACGTTGTCAGACAAAGGTTAATGAGTAACATTAGACTTGAACATTGAAGCTTTTTGAGTGTCTTCAGTGAGGAGGAGAGACATAGTATCCTTGGCCAGTTGTGGTTTGATTGATGTGTAGAATGCTGTGACATCGAATGATACCAATTAAATTCATCCTTTACTACATGAATGCCTGTGATCTATTCTAAGAATTCTGTCGGTGATTTAATGGAATGTCAGTACGATTACACAAGGCATTTCAGTTTCCTTGGAAGTTCTCTGGATATGTTGTAAGTTAGTGATGATGTTGTCTAGAAAGACAATGAAAGCTTCATGATTAAACGACACAGTTCAGAGAACACAACCAAAAAGAAACGAATCTCATGTGCAAAGACTACTAGTTGAATGGACGGATAATGGGATTGGCCAGGTTGCTTTAAACTCGCAGTTAATTGCATTCATCATTGACAAAGACCTCCATGTAGAAGATATATAGAGCAGTGCAAGTTTCGCATTCATTCAGTTTTGAAGCCCCATATCAAATGTGTGCATGAAATCATACTGAAAGTGAAACTTAGCTTCTAATCATCCTGACACAATACCAGAGGAGAAATAACTGACATTCATAAAACGACCGAAACGGTATATAATAATACCTACAGCATCCTGGTTGCAGGTGTTTAATCATTAGACTACAACGCCCATAGTTGCTATCCATAGGTGAACCAACGGTAGTAATATATTCCAACAGCTAAAATTATACGTACATATATCAATTCAAAACGATGGTACCACCAACCCTATGATGTAACCCGTATTGTATTGATTAGGGTTGAAAAATTTCATGTTGCCTATTCTTATGAGTTGACCAAATCCTATCAATTATTTTGTGATCTGATCACCAAGCTAAGAAATTCGTTAACTCGGTAGGCTTTCATAAATTTTAGGTTCATGAAAGCAAACAATAAGAAGTCCAGAGATTCATATTTGACAGCTGCTAGCAGACGTTAGCAGTAAATGCAATTTATCAAGAAGAAAATTTCTCAAATGAAACTGAGATCACACTATAATTAAATTTTTACATACCCTAATTTTAATTGATCTGCACCTGCCAACATACTGCATATAGTCCATTTGGCTAGTTTAAAAGCATTATTCTTTATTTCAGCGGCTAGAACAGCTCCACGTTGAGTATCAAGTTTAGTACGCCAGTCAACACCACCGCAATACTGAAGTGAGAAATTTCATAGAAAATAACAAGAAAACATTAGAATTCCCAATAATCCAAACATTAAAACTGCTGGAAACGAGAAACATAGAACAGTAGTAGGATAAAAACGCTTGAATAACTTTATAATGTGCAATACTATAACAAGATTAGCGACTCTTGAAACAATTAGTTAATGTATCAACGCTATCCAATAAGAGCACACCTCATAGATCATGAGTCTGAAAAAAATGACCTCATTTATAGATATGTTTAGTTTGTTAGCTCAGGTGATCGTATACACATTAGAGGCAAGATTTCATCGTGCTAGGCGAAATTGTCGTCCGAAAAGGGTGCGAAACTTAAGACACCACTGAAAACCAAGAGACAGAAAGCCTAATTACTGAAGTCATCTCAAAATATCAGATTCTGTTTTTTTTTTTGAATACGCTTTATTCTACACTAACTAAAAGACTTTTATGTACACTAATGCACCCTATCGTTGGGAATAAATGTTGAAGAGGTGATCTGTCTGTAAATATAATTAAATGAACTGTCAGATTATACACACCTATTGATAAATCATAACTCTCAAATGCAGGCTATAAGGAGCATATACAGCTGTACTTCATAGTGTCAGGGATTCGAATTTTAGAAGAATAAAAGTTGTGGTAAGTACGAGAAACAATTATTGAGGTTTTGGTATTTGAGAAAACAAAACTAAATTTCACAGTTTAATCAATAAAAAACATTAAATCCTCCAGTAATTTTAATTAATTACATAAACAACACCAGCGATAAAGAAAGATCCAATTGTATTCATGCTAAGATGAACAGTTCTAAATAGGTTTTCGCTATCGAAGTAAAAAGATGTTAAGCAGGGTTTTATAGTGTCTGCTACATTTAATCAGTAAACGAGTGAAATATTGCACATGCAATGATTCTTAATACATTTTAGTGAGAGAGTGTGTGTGTATGAAACAATTAACAGTTGTAATGCACTAGGAGTCAGCACGCTACAAGTTTACAGTATGATCTACTGGGGAGACAACTGCCAATAAGAATCAATGACAGGGTTAGTTAGTCAGTTAATACTAATCAAATGACGTGGCAGTAGTGTAGCACTTTGTTGTCACACATGAAATGAGTACATCAAGTTCAAGAGGGCAACAAAATGCGAAACATGGAAATAGAATATTCAGAATTATCAAAATGTCATACAATATGGTGGAGAGATTGCACAGAAAATAAAGTAATCCGATTTACCGGTTAAGATGAACATAACGATCTATTCAGCACTATTTGATTTAGAGTCTGCAACAATTGGCTATGGTTACCGTGCGAACCCCGATCGGGAGGTCTATATTTCATTATGAGGCTCAAGTGAAAGATTAGAAAATTGATGCACTGATGATATGTCTTGGTTTGGCTATTCTTAGCTTCTATTCAATTTAACCTCAGCAACCATAGCGCATAAGAGTGGATAGTGATTCAGCATGTGTAACACATTTCGCAGTAAATTCAGTTGATGAAGATTTACAACCTCATCAACGGATTAAACTCTTCACCAAAGATTTTACACTTAACCTTGATGATCCGAATATGGTGATTTCACTACGAGTGGTCGAATACCTAGAACCTTTTGTAGTTAAGAAATGATTTGTAGCTAAGGATGACGATGACAGTAGTTTGGTGTTCCATCATTTCAAAATACTTAGAGTGTAACGCGCTTCTAAGTGCTACAGAGTTTTTATTCAGCAAGAGTTTTTCACTCATATGAATGTTTACAGAGGAACATCTAGCCATAAACTAATAAGTATAGACCGTCTATCGATTCTCCAAATGGATGGAAGACTTCAACAGAAACATATCACAACTAGTGATCTCAAATGCTTACAACAGTGCATTTACAACTCAGTTTTGAATTTTTCATAGACAACCTGAATTGTTACAGTCTCAGCCATAAGTAAAAGATGAGTTCAATCGGAAAGGTTCCATGAGATGCAGTAGACCACTTCGAACACTTTTGTTTTATGTATATTAGAGTGAAGCCTGAAGAGATCTACTTGAAAACAATATTATTCACTTACACCACTTGTTATAGATAAAAATATGCTCAATAATGAAAAATCAATGAACTGAAACTTACACGTGAGTCAAACTCATTCAGTGCACGTATACATACAAACTGTGGATTGGTATTCGTCTGATCCTCACCAGTTGGCGGAAGTACACCAGTCAATTCACAACGAATAACAGCTTGAATACCATTACCCAAATCGAATAAACGATATCGATAGCCTACAGATGACAAATCTGTCTTTCCTTCACATTCTCGACTTTTAACTTGTGAGTCTTTCGGATTCTCTGAATCCTCATCATCATCATCTTCGTCGCCTTTCTCATCGTTGTTATCTTTGAAAGGATTCTCTTCAGGGAAACGATAAGTTTTGCCACCCTAATTTAAAGTTAAAAAAACATAAAATGATTCATTATAGTGAAAGTAATCCCTTATAAGCAGTATATTTTGATGCCATTTCAACAATATTATATTTTGCAGGAAAAAGATGAATACCTCATCAGTTCCATGAAAATAAACAAAAATAATAAGTAATCAACATCTTTAAAAAGCTCTGGTAGTTTGCACGATAAAATTCCCTACACCAGCCTGAACATTTAATTTCTAATCAATAATTCACAGGTTAAAAGCAAACTTTACAACCGTCGAGCTGAGCCAACGAGTAGTATCATAAAAACTCATATACTAGCTGCTAGAGGATTACTTTTCAATTGTTCTTCAAATTTTTATAGTAGTGTACCAACTGAGTCTTACCATGCAGCTTACTGGTCTCATGAGTCGACATGTACATATTAGTAACAAATTATAAAATTCTCTAAAACTATTATGAGAGTATTACGTCCCACCACCACCACTACCACCAGTGCAATGTACACACGTAACATTAAGTCTAGTAAGAGAGTATGTCAGTGGTTTCTGAAGTGCAATCACACTTGCAACTTATCATGATCAGGGTACAGAAAGAAGACGGAGGAATAAAGCATGCATGCACTTACACGATTAGATAATAAACACTGAGTAAAATATTTTTATCAATGTAAGCCTTCGGTATTTCTTTCATGAAAATACAACGCCAAACTATCGTTAAATCGAAAGAGTGAAACGTCACGTTTATCACATTTACAACACGGATCACTTCCAGCTGCTACAATTCGAATCAGTTTAGTCAAAGAAAGCAAGAGGGAAAGACTAGTAGGAATATCCTACAGTTGCGCTTCATTTTTATAGCTCAAATAATACCTAAGTCAATATCAATATTTATTTTAAATCCTTTTCCCATTTTGTTTCAATTTCCAACTTCGACGTCACTAGTGTCCCCTTTTTATATATGTGGTCTATACTACTCATTAAAAGTAAGTAGTACGACTCGTGTTTTAAAAATGGCAACTACCGTTGTGATCAAATATAGTTCATCGTTTATTACTTTCGCACAGCATCTTTCTCACTACATGAGAACATTGTGCTTCCACTACTTTCTTTTCCTGTGTTCTTTCTTCGCCTAAACATAAGGCTATCTTTTACTGTTTATCTCAGCCTCCGTGTCCGCAAGCCTTTGAAAACTTTCCACCACAGTTGTTGTATCTTTTGTTGACGCACTCCCTGGAAGGTTTTTTCGACGGCTATGAAACCAAAAATAAGGCACGATTCGAGATTCCTAGTTCACTAACTACTATTTTTGTGATAGATAGTGTTGTACTTCAGATCAATCCCCGGGTGTGGATTTTATGCATCGGGTGTTTGATTTACTGGTCGAAGAATCAAATGATCACTTTGGTGTCTAATGTCTGGAGGAAAATTCAGACACTTAATTACTATCCTTAGACATTTATGGAAAATGATCTTTCGAGTTTACTGAACTTCCCTGATTTAAATCCATTTCAATCATAAACATCTATAACAATGAGGCAGCGTGATGAGATCAAAGGTAGCTTAAGGTCACTTGAAACGTCTTGTAGTATTCAAATTGTCGTTCAAGACATCTCAATCATTCAGTATCAACAAAGTACCTAGCATTATTTCGTAATGCTTCAATTCACCACATTTTACATCAGCACACCAAAATACAAGGAAATAAAAAGATAGACAAAGAAATAAAGTCAGTAGAAACAAGAAAAACCAGTATTAGACGGGAGAGGGAAGTTCTGCAAACAAGAAAATATTACGTAACAGTTAGGATGAAAGAGAAATGTAGATGATACTGTATCAGTGTAATTGATTTTGAGTCATACCACCCAGAGCCTCCAACCACCTATTTAAGTTGCCACACGTACCGCAAATAAAATGTCTAGGTTTCGCGATACAACTCAAAATAACAGTCGGAGGCTTGTCTTCATCAAGACAGCTGCAGTGAGTATTCAGCACTAGTTCATTTATTATATTTTTATTATGCGAACATCTGCTCCTGTTTCACTGATCCTCATAGTTTGAGTACCTAAACCCTAAGTTCTTCAGTTTCTATTGTTGTTATACACCAATTCACTTTGTCAACACACTTAGAGTTAACAATACTGAGTACTTTGATGTATTTTGCTGAAGCTTAATGGCTTCTGTTAGCTTAATTACTGTCACCGAAGCTCCTGAAGACTACAGTTTGAAGAGGGATATCAAAATAAATTAGGATGAATATCACTGCCATACTTGAAAAACTCCTTGGTTGGCCATTCATTGTATGAAGATGGTATGCTAATCGATCACTGACGAACTGATATCATTTTTTCGTTGCTTAATGAACTAGTGACTCAACTCATTCCAATAAACACATATGTGCTAGGTAGTGAGTTACACTTAACTTATACAAGCTTATGATACTACCTAGTTCTGATCTGAATTCTCAACTAGAAGCATGAAATATGATTGACTAAACTGATGTGCCACACTTCTTATCTTTGGATAAGCAATGATAATTCATATTCACCTATAAACATGTGTATTTGTATGCTTGTAAATGTCTGGATATTTGCATTTGATTTATACATACTACACTTATGGTTGGTATTACCGCCACTTGAATTCCAGTAGCCTAGAGAAAATAACAGTGTGTATATCAAGCTATCATCTAATCCCATACATGTTTAGCTGAAGTCAGATTCAGTTGAGAAAGAACTTAAGGATGAACGGATTAAAACATGGCCTCAGATGATCAAATCTACGATTTCTGACCTGAGTCATATGTGGGAAGGTAGATACGTGTAGAGAATCGCCTGATAACAAAAACAGATGGTAGCATACTACAGACTGTGTTTCGGAATCGACCGGCCTTGTGTAGATCCTTTCACAAGATACTAACACCATGATTGGTAAATTACCTTTTGTTATATGATGAGACTACCCTTTGCTTTTTCTTGTGGCTCTCCGCAATATTTCATAGAAACATTTCCACCTTTTTGCCCTTTGTTCTAATGTCACGTACCCTAGTACGTTGTGACAAGTGGCAACTGAAACCTTTATACACAATAACACAGAAATTTCACAAGTTTGAACCAGGTAAAATGGGAAAAGAAATATAACTATGAACGTTGTCTTCAATTACATTCTTCTCAGGCTCTGCTTGTAGCTGTAAGTCGGAAAAAAAATCGAAATACACTCAGTAACCTTGTTTATATTCGTGCAGTAGGCAATAAGTCTGGCTATCCAAGCCTTGGTAGGTGGAGCAGGGCTCGAATCCGTGACCCATCGGTTGAAAGTCGTCTTAAACCAATGAGTCACAGCTCCACTGTAAGCGTAAGTAGTTAAACATACATAGGAAAACTAAACCAATCATGTGAATGTGTCGACCAATGATGAATGCTTTAATATCTACAGATAATAACGACGGTTAACAGTCACCGTTACCTAAAGTAGTTGTAATACAGATTACCGTGTCAATAGATATCGGGAGGGCAAATTAATCTAGGGATTTCACAGTACATCATTAAGGAGTTACTTTTCAGATACAGTGTGAATGTATATATTTTTTCTTCAATAACACATACTATAAGCAAATAGATGGTCGATATATTTTCATCATTTGTCCCAATTTTAGCTGACCAACTGCATGCGAAACCTGAGAGAGGACCACTAAAAGATGTCACACTGACAGCACTTTTATTGCTCTTGATCAGGATATGGATAGAAGCGAACTATTAAGGAAATTTAATGAAGTGTACCCTTCACTTACTTTCATTTGTGAAGAGTATACGAGTAAAGTGCACTTTCTTGAGTAAGAATATGTCCATGACTCACTGATTAAAACGCCCTACTCTAAAAGCTTAATAAAAAGGCACATGGACAAAGTGAAGAGAAGAAAAGCTGAATGGATTGATGTTCGAAAAAAACCACTGTTCATGAAACTGCAATTCAACCAAGATGTAGACAAAGAAGTTGTATACCAGAGGCTATCTGAAGCCACTAAGAAAAATTCCTACGCTGCTGAACTCTGTTTTTCATTTTCCAGCCGACAAGTTGTCGTCTTATCGATTCTGTGTTTGCTTACAAGTCTAGGTGCTTCTGTAGAGCAAGATATATTAGGCATATTGCTAAACAACTTAACAGATGTGTTGCAGAGCATCAATCTTCGTGATTTGGAAAAGAAAGAATAAAATCTATAAAAAGCTCAATCTTATCTCATCTGATTGATGCTGGTCACTCAGCAGACAGGACCAATGGACTTAAGATTATCTATCATATATCACCTAACCTTTAGAACAGTATTCGAACTCATTTTTTACACATAACGGAAGGTAGGGCGATTCAGGCTAATAATCCTAATCTTTGTATCCGGAAGAATATCCTTGGCCAGACAGAATTTAATAAACAGCTTTACCAGAGAGATTTTTTGAGTTACTTCTTATTCTTCACTCCATTCGTATACTTACTATATTTGTCTAGACTTTGTTCACCCACTTTCTTTTGCCTTTAATATTACGCAAATTTATTTTCCCCAAGCTTTTGACCCAGTTTGATTATCACAGTGTCTACATTCTCATGATGTTTCCTCGATTCTTATCATCATGATCATCTTTATTGCATAACCACTTTGAGTACCACTGCGACTGTAAACGTTATTATTCTTATCATTATCACCACCGTTATTACCATTTTGTATATATTAAAGCATTTACCATTGACCGACACAGCCACATGATTGATTTGGTTTTCCTATGTATGTTTAGCTACTTACACTAAAGTAGAGTCTCAGAATGATTTGATTAAAGGCAATCCCGTTTGTTATCACCTTGTTCTATATATATTTTATATATATATATATATATATATATATATATATATATATATATATATATATATATATATATATATATATATATATATATATATATATATATATATATATATATATATATATAGTCCTATGTTGAGATGAGCCGCTGACTGATTGGGCCCTAGTTATCACAGATTGAGAATGAGTACCATTCTGCAATAAACAAGATAAGGTTGATGAGGAATCCCCTACAAGTGTGTGGCAGTGAAAGGATGAGAAACGAATTGTGTAGGGGCTGATGTTACTACCAGACTTTTCATAAGTGGGCTTACTAGTTCAAACCGGTTCAAAGTCAAACGCTTGTATCAACCAACCGCTGCTCGATGAACATTAATCTGCCCTTTATAGCAAAGTATAAATATGCTATAGACATTTGGTTTTTTCAGAAATGCATAGAGACATGACAGTAATAAAAGAATGACAAATATTAAGACTTGAAGTAGGACACATATGTATATAACTTAGGGTTCATAAATATACACATGCAAAATGTTTTGAAAACCAAAGCATTATTAATCTAATTTAGAGGTTTGCGGGGATTTATTTATTGATTCCAAGTTTGTTTTCATCATGGACTGACATCAGTCGGAGAAAGGTTGGAAACTTGGGGGCATTGGACAAGAAATATGGACCATTGGATTCCGATTCAGTGGCTTGATGGTGACGTACTGGCCGAGAAACCTGAAGGCCCTGGGTCCAGTCCCTAGAGGGATCATGAGTGCGCACTGCTGAGGAGTCCCATCCTGGGACGGAAGAGCAGTGCAGCTCTCCCAGGTTCCCAGTGTTTCTCCAACTGATGTCAGTCCATAATGAACACCAACCTGATAAGCAATGCTCAGCATTATATAAAAAAAGAGTTGTTTGATCGTCAGCCTTCTACAATTCAGTCTCACTAAAGCACTTACCTCAATCATCCACATTAACAAAGAAAAATACGACATCAAAACTCAACCAGACACTATTCAAATAATCACTTACCCTTGATAACATTTGTTGACATAAATTAGTATTTATAAAGGTGGCTTCCAACGCTAAACGTTGTGGTGAGTTAATATGACCAGGTTCTTCATTTGGTGGCTCTGCTGCAGTTTCACAGACATGATCAAAATCTACATAGTTTAAAAATTAGAAATAATAAACAAAAGTTACCATATAAAATAAACAGAAAAATTTATGATAAAGTCATAAATAAACTTCAGGAGACTGTGACTATCAAATTACGACTCTACAATCATACTGATAGACTCCCAGGTAGATAACACTAAAGATTAACGTGAAGTGATAACTGATTAATCTGAGCATTCAACTTTCAAATGATGAGCAACAAGTTTGAAAACGGCTCCACCTACCAAAGGTCTAGGCAATCAGGTAGATGTGGCTCATCAAATCCTGCGTCAACGTGCACATACTTGCTATGTACACTTTGATTTGATTGGAAAGACGTGTGGCAGCGGATACAGACTAATGACGCTTTGTCAAAACATTCTACACTTTTAAACAACTATTATCCTACCAACAAGGTATTAGCTGTTTCAAAAATAGAGACAACTATCGTTGACTAATACCAACATAAAATGTGAATGCTTTACGCAACAAAATATCGACATATTATTGTAGTGGTGTTGATGAAGCATGGAATGCGATGATATACGCCTGATAATGTGATGGAACTCAACAGTTACCAACTCGCTCATGTAGCAGACAAGTAGGCACACCTATCCTGTTAAGATTGATTAACTGCGTGAACACAGATCATCGTTGATGTTACGCGCAACAATCATATGTCATATGGGCTTAATAGTTACACAAATGTTTTCTCTTTCAATTACCTTAAAAAACAGTCTTCAATGACATGACATGACATTCCAGCTGCCTCTTACCACGATGATCAGCGAAAGCAGCTGAAACACAAAGTGACCAGGAGTCTTCGCGTCGATCGCGGACATTGGTGGGTAGCGAAAGTGAGAGAGATGGAGAAAGCATCAGTATTGATGAGTCACGAGAGTGGAACCAATTTCATGTTGTCTAGTCCTGAGTGCAGACCGAATTCTATCGATCATATTTGCAATGTGGCAACCAAGCTAGGAAGCTCAGCATCGCGGTGCACATTAGTAGATGTTAGTTGGTTGGAGGCAATCGGCAGGAAGCCCTGGATCCAGGTTTCGTGCTTTTTAGCACTCGTCAGCAAGGCGAATCTGCAACCTCGACGGAACTGATATCCTGCCTGAGATTCGAACCCGTGACCAATCAATACATGTAAGCCAGTCCTACCGGAGGTCAGTCACAGCTTGAATAGCTCAGTAGTAAAGTCGCTGACTACAACACCGGGTGACGCGGGTTCGAATCTCAGACAGGATATCAGTTCCGTCGAGGTTGCAGATTCGCCTTGCTGACGAGTGCCGAAAAGCACGAAACCTAGGTCCAGGGCTTCCTGCCGATTACCTCCAACCAACTAACAGAAAGCATCAGTGTTGGGTAACAGCGAGAAACGACTTAGGCTTGTTAAGGATACCGGCAAGACGAAAACGATGTTGAGTGAAACCATTACCGAAAAGGATGGCAGCCTGATAACATTCCAGGACAGGCAGCCAAAACGTTGAGCAGAACACTATGAAGTGATTATCAGGACAAAATTCCAAGAGATTATCACCATCGTCGGTTCTTTCGCATGGGATTCCGTAAATGCCTTAAAGATCCATTTCCGATTGGCCCAGCTTCGCTCCTTGAACATTAAGTTCACCTGCCATTATGACAGCCATGACAGCTAGCCACTGGGTCTCCGAATACTCGTAAGGTGAAGTTTGAAGATTCACTCCTACAGCCAGGTAAAGTCAAATTAATGACCATACTTGGATCCTGTATATGTGTCTCAGAGAAACAGCATACATCTATGGCTAGTGATTCCAGAGTTCTGGGGAGTGATTCTTGGTGTCCGACTTGGCATAGAGTTCGGACGTTGATAGCTCCTACATTAAATTGATGGTGGGGTCCTAGGAGACTAGGAATGAGGTTTCGATAGCTTTAATCGTTAGCAATGGTCGCAGAATTAGGTTGGGGAAGATGTAAGGTGCTAAATATTAGTAACAAGAGGTGGAAGCAAAGGATGAGATAAACTTGAGGATAATAGGTTATCTTTGATTGGGTCTTGTGTACTACTGGAAGCGTGCAAGCACTTGACACTTCCCGGGTGTCCACACCGTGGAAGGCCCTGACAAAATTGAAAGTCTTGTGAACGCGCTGAGCGAAAATCTGAGTATGTTTAGCACTCATTTTACACCTGCTAAATATGAGATGGTGCTACAGGTGCGGTCTGCAACCACTCACTGTTCAAGGATAGGTAGTCAAGTGGTGGGATGCTTAGACGACTTCACTTGCTTGGGGGATGCATCAGTTTGAACGGGCTGACTGCTGACGAAACCTCATCCCGAATACAGAAGTCCCACTTGACATATGCCAATTTTTGTCATTCTTTACGCAGACTAGCCAGATGTCCTGTTATTTAACAAAGGATGAGTATAATGCACTAGAGTTCGTTTTGTCCTGTTATACTGCTGTGAGATATGTCCACTGAAAGTAGAAGACATGAAGAATTTACAGGGTTTTGATTACAGGCGGCTTCGTAGTATCGCTCGCTTACTGTGGAACCGCCATGTGAAAAGTTTCAAGGCTATGCGAAGGGTACTAGGTAAGGAAGGCAGGTAAGTCGCTGAAGCTGTGGATCTCCAGCGACTTAGGGGGACTCGGAAATATGCTGTGCATGCCACACCACCACCTAGACGTGCAATGCTAGGCGACTTTGGATTAGGTTGGAAGAAAGCTCAGGGTGGCCAGGTTGTTGTAGCACTAGCCTACGAAATCGCTGACACCTGTTATGAGCCGAGTCGGGATACGCAAACTACCTGGCTGAAGTCTCCGAAACGATAGGAGTCAGTGGCTGAGGACTCTCGTGACATGGCTGTAAATCGATCGCAGTGGCGCAGATGCATTCACTCCCCAACGTTTTCTAAAGCTTGAACATTCAAACTAACTTTTATCTTCAAATTGTTGATTCTCTCATATAACTTTGTCTACTTTGACATCACTATTATTCTATCCACTTGCTGTCTGTGTACAATTGCGAAATTTGGTAAATTAAATCGATCCACTTGTTTGCGAGGTTTTACGTTGATTTTGTCTGCCTGTTTGTCTGCCAGATAACTGCAGGTGGACTGAGGTTCTGACCCCTGATCCGTCAGTTAACAGTCAACTACATAGACCGATAAGTCACAGCTTCACACACTTGGTTCTAAAGGCTTAGTATTGCCTTGATCAAACAGTTTTCTGATCACTTCTTACCAGAAAGCGTTCTCACAAAAAGTCTAAGGGAATATGAGGAAGTAAAAAGGATTTATGATCCTGAGATATTAGTAGTAGACCTGAAGTATTGCGAACAGATTTTAAAACTGGTAATCAAACCAACCTAGAATCTTATTTGGATTTTTTTTAATCATTATTCTTCTCCTTATTATCATTAGAACACAAGCATGATACAGCAAGGGCACCGAGAAATGAGCCACACTAAATAATATAACACTATTTTGAAGACAAAGCGAAGGGAAATCGATAAGAAAAGCATAATAAGAATAGAATGATTGGAAGAGCAGTCTAGTAAAATAAATTCAAAATAAAACATTCATTACTTTTCAGCAGCAGAAGATAGGAGGAAGCTACAGTATGGCCGCCGTTGGTCTCGATTCTAAACCATGTCTGATGAAGTCTCAAACCACTGAGTTGGGCGAGCCTTCAGACTTCACCCGGGGATTCGTGATTCACCAACAGATGCATCCCACGGCGCCATATCACACAGTGACTATCCCTCTGCTTTTTCCACCCAGTCCCAGCACTAGCAAACAATGAACGGTTTGGAAGGCGTTGGGACGACAGGTGTAGCACATGTTTAAGCCACCGAAGCCAGTGTTTCCAGATGACTTCATTTGCTGAATGACGATCTCTAACATGCGCAAACACACGCTGTTCTGTCTCAAAATTAATTACGTGGTGTTACCACTCGAGATGACCAATCCTAAGGAGACGAGGATGATCAAACAAACAGTCATCGCACATCAGCTTGGATAGGCTAAGTTTCACAGGTGTCAAGCAGAACCGGTCGCACCGAAGCGTTGTAAACCCGTTTAACGGTCAGACTAACGTCATGACGGCACCGAAAGTGGTCCAGATTGGCGTATGCCACTCCGGCTTTAGATGTGCCGTTAGAAATTTCACCACCATCACCACTTCCACAACTACACAGATTCACAAACTTTTCGACTACTTCCAACGACTCACCACAAAGGATGAGCGCAGGCGCAGGCTCCTGCCAATTTTGCAAAAGTACTTTGCACTTTGATGTGTAAAGCATATATCGCACTTACAGACATTGATCGCTAACCCATTAGGTGCGACTTGAGTAGCCTGTGTTATCACACAGTGAAATGATATCATTCCCATATTCAAGGTCGAATAGCCACTGTTCAGTTAGTAGATTTATACAACCATCACGTATCTCGTTTAGAACTGCCTTAAGAATGTAATCGATGGCAAAATTAGGGAGGAACAGAGAAAATGGGAAATCCTGCCTAACCCCACTCCTGGTTTGCAACAATGGAGACAGGTGGTTATAAGCCTTTACTCTACGTGAGGTGTTACTTATTAAATAAGGCTTTCAAGACGTTGATAAATTTCTCAGGCACAAAACTCTAGCAGATAGTTCCAGAGTACAGCTCTATCTAACGAATCGAAGGCAGCCTTAATGTCAAGAAACACGATTGTTGGCCTGCACTACGTCTGGCAATATTAAAGCATCTAGTTTAGGGTAACTTATTTCAATAATACACCACTTGGATGTTAGTAACATTCTGAGCAAAAGAGACGGAATGATAGTATTTGATAGGTACTAGGAACGTCCATTTTGTGGTGTAGACAGAATCAGATTAAGAAACATCTCTTCAAATTTCCATTCGTATTTTTGAGAATATAGACCAAGACTACCAACTAATGAAAACATACAATTACCTAAATAAGCTACTAGGGTTAACAGTGCATGAAACTTGATAGTCGAATATCATAGTTATTAAGAAAACCGCCTGCAAAGGGGATTATTCACTAGTTGAGATCATGATTTGTGAACAACTGAAAATGTTGATACATTGTTACCAGTTCAGATGAAACCCATCTCAACTTGCAACATTTGAAAGAAGCACAAGGTAGTATTAGACTAGACTGGAAGGAAGTTTACTTCAACATAAACTTTCTAGAGTCCTAGTGGAGAACACTGTCCTGCAAGAAGTGAGGTCGGACTTAAAATATGATGCCACAGGAAAAGTCAAGTTATACCCCAAGTTTTCGAAGATGATAGAATATGGATCAAGTGACTGAACAGTAACGTGATAGCCTTGATGTCTGAAGGTCGTAGGCTAGACCCCACGTGGAGTCCGAGATAGAATGAAACAACTATTCTATGATCCTCGGTTAGGATTGTTGCTGCAGCTGACATCGAAACAAAATAAAAATTACTTCTAAACTAATATACGAAGCCAGTGAATGTTGAAAAAGCGTACACAGAATAAATCATAAGTAAAACATAATACTACCAGATTTGTACACATTATACGCTATACTTGTGTGGTTGGATAGTGATACAACTTGATTGTCGAAACCTAAATATGTGATAGGGTTCGGACTGGCGCTCGGCTAACTGAATGCTGAGTGCCTAAACAAATGAACTACAACTAAATGATAAGATAGTACGAGAATCAGTGAACATAAAAGTTAAAGTGTGGCTTGAAATGAGTTTGTAACACATCCATTTGTGATATGTTCACACTGTCGTGCTTTAAAACATGCTCACACATTTCCTTTCTTTGCAGTTTTTTCGCTATGTTCTCCTGCTACATATTAAAACACTGGCTAGCCAGTCAATTATTCACGTTGTTTGCCAGTTGACGGAAGTTTGATAGCTTTATATATTATGAACTTGACCAGAAAGATAAAATTTATGTGTAACACTAAATGTTGCATCAAAAAAAGAAACGTGTATTGCTGAAAATAGTCTGAGTTTTTCAGCTATATCAGCCTTTTGAATTAATGAGAATGTAACTCAAACAATCAGAAAATAGATATCAATAAAAGTAACACTTGCCAAGCAAAGACGAGCTTCAAGATAAAGTGAAAAGTTTTACAAAATACCGAGACTTTCAAACTATCCTATTGCTGTGAAAATGCACCGACTTACCGAATTCAGCATCTTCACGTTTATCGAAGAACAAAATGTTTTGTATACGTTGTACAATTATATCCCAAGGGTATACAGAACGAGTGCAACACATAATCATAGAAGCGATAGTGTCCGTGAAAAAGACTTTTGCCACATTTCCACCAGCTAATCGGCAGATAACTGGGTCTCTGGAAGTTGTAACAGTGTGAAGAACCCGATTCACTCGAATTAAAGGACGTTCATTCCGAGTACTGACACGATCGTAGGATTTGTCATAGTATTCCATTTCTCCACAATCAACTCTAAAGGAAACAAGCGAATTCATTAAAATGGTTACAAATCATTTCAAAAACAACCGCAATATAAATACCTACTTATCTTCGGGTTCCTTGACATTTGGCAACGCCAACTTTGAGAGTCTAGTAAAATCTAACTCTTCCAACATTGTCCAACTTTCTTTAATCTGAATGGATGCATCACGTACTGCCCTGTGGGCTTGTCTGCGATCGGCATTGGAACCCCAACCTCCTGCATTGCCTCTCCATCCTTGAGCCCCACCACGTCGCTGACCCATACCACCAGGACCCCAGTGCTGCCACCGTCTATTCTGTTGCAAAATCATCCGTTCCCTATCCGATGCATTACGCAGCTTGCGGCTCATCACATTACCCTGGGCTCCCAGCATTTGATATCCGGCTCGACCTCCACCTGCCCAGGGGTAACCTGTGCCTGGACCACCCACACCACGACGACCACGCTGCAAGTGAGAATGATAAAACAGTATTTTAGGCTTATGAACTCACCTATTGAAACAAAGAAATATTTAATACTTTTATTCATAAAAACAAAGAGGAAAGTAAAAACTAGTAAATGATTCAAAGGCGCAGAGTGAACTCAGAAAAACCTATCATGAGCACCTAAAATGATAAACTTTCTTCGTGCACAATACTGCAAAAGTTTTCGATCAAATTTCACTAATATAGTACTTAAATGGACATAATGTGTCTACTTACAACTCTTTCGATGGTTCGCTTAACCAGAACAACTTATTCTAGGATCCCACATATTCGCAAAACTGGTGAATCGTTCAGTATATCCAAACGGACAAAAACAGTATAAACGTAAGATCTGGCTTCACTGTGCAATAGTTCAAGTTGCCACACCTCGTATCAGCACATCTAGATGGAAGGCACTAATATGAAATAGAGAAATGAGTTAGAAAGTAACCACAAGAAATGGAAAGTCGTAAAAAGAAAAAGGCCATGAAACAATAATAAAATTTAGAGTCACCATTTAGATAAACGTGCGTGGATACATATTTGCCACTCCCATCGATTGAGCCACGTCAACCAGAGTCTACAACCACTAGTTTGTGTTGTCGCACACCTTAACTGGGAAGTCTATGTTTTCTTACACGGCTGACACCGACAGCAGATTCGTGGACTGACGCTATGTCCTAGTCTGACCACCTTTAGTATTTTTTCTAGTTTCGCGACAAGGTACGTGGTGACTAGACATGCGCAACACATGTACTAGCCATATCAATCGACGAAGGCTCACAACCTTACCAACTGACTCACCTATGTCCCTGAATTCCGCATTACTGACGTGGTGAAACCACAATACACGACCTATCACTTGTTTCTTAATAATACTGCACTGGTGACACGAAAATGGTGGAGGGTGTAAGTATTATAATTCCCTGTTTCTGCATTGGTTTTTCACTAGGAAATATTAATACACAAAGGATATCATCCACCCATTGCCAGAATATTTTCAAACCAAGAGTCAGCCAGATTTGGATATCTTTAAAAAGAATCTAAATGCAGTTAATTATATAGGACCAACGCGGTGGGCCTGTGCGTCAGTCCAGTTAGATTTTCAAACAGGGTGAATCAGGTATATAATCAAGGATGAAGTATAAGACGAAACTTAGCCACTTGAAGTCGCAAACTAATTGCAAGTAACCCATATTTTCAGATAGACGCTTGATTATCCAAATAAAAAAGTGGAGGTCAGAGAGACTCAACAAGGATAATACTCGTCGGTAACATACACACATACTCATCAATCTCAACTCTACAGAAATCAGTTTTTAAAACACGTGCTGCAGTATGGTAATAATCAACATTTTCGCGATGCTTTTAAATCTGAATTGTATTTTTGAAAGCAAATGCCGAGTAAAGATTATTTTAGTAATCGATATTCACTAACCACATCATAAGCTTCACATGACAGAAAACTGCACTCCATGGAACATGTTGATTTTATCACTAAAAGAACTCATGATTCATTGCTTCAAGTCACCTAATTACTTACGTTACCCACTCGGTAATTTTTGATCAAACCTTCATTGCTCTTCTGAAAATGGAACTGATAACGTGAAACTATTCGAAAGCACCTAGAAGCGAACGTAAGTTAGGGAAAAATCCGAACCAGACAGGTACTTGAGTATGCAAATGGAGGTTTTTGCACATGTCGACATACTCCTCATGAATACTTGGCCCTCAAAGGCAGTTATATTGGCGTATTCCGATAAGTCGAGTAATTTAATACTGTCTACTGGTCTGCCCCACTGAAATGTCCCTTGAATAAAACATGTTGAAAATGATGAGCCGATCGGAGGATTGTTAGAAAGACAGAATCAACTTAGGAAATAGCATGGAAGTGTCTGTTCAAACTGTCACGAACGACCAACATTGGATGCTTTCGAGACCTGCTGGATAGTCTAAAACCTCAAATCAGGGCACGTTACGTCCAACTAAATGAATATACTCACTGGAACCAAATATATCTTATGAGTTATCTCAAAACAAGTATCGTACGATAGAAGTACAACCGCGTATTTTATATTCTTTTGTACATTTTTTCGGTGAAATAACGGATGTCTTAGTTACTGACCCAAACTCTATGGTGACACTTCTCATTTGAGCAATCAAATAAATCCTATCATACAGGAATCCTCTCTTGAAACTACTGAATATAAAAGCCAACAGAAGTTTATCACAGGATCAACTACAGACCACTAGAGCGCCCAAGAGGGTTGACTATCGAAACCTACTTGGAGGAATTCATGTGAAGTTTATGTCGGCACTACATGATTTCTTGCGGTTCAGCTGAGTAAATTCCTTAGTAATATTTCAAGCTTACATAATTGAGGAAATTTCTATTTACACGACTCATTAGGAGAGAATGCAAACCAGTTATAAATGCATAACTTGCCATTGGAAATCGATATCTTTGTCGAATCGCAGGAGTCTTAGTGTCACGGACAGAAGAAACCAATTGGAAATTACTGTCGTCTTCATCATGATAGTAAGCGTACTGTGATCCGACAAACTGAGAAACATAGCGGCCTGAAATTTTATACATGACAACGTTATCACAAACCTTTTGTTTTCATATCTTGAAATATATTACCCGACCAGTCAGCCACCTTCAATTAAATGTACTTTGTTATATGCAGGTACTTACTCTGCCTAGACGCATGTCTTTTGAGAATGGTTGATAAGGCATGTTTTTGAATTCGTCTGGAATATCAACAGGACCCCATCCAGTAGGATTTTCATTGAAAGACAGGCCACCAAACTCAGGTAAAACTGCCTCGTGTATTTGCATTTTATCCCTTTCAGAAGTCCCTCCTTGTCTGAAGGTCGGTTTGATGTCTAACGGAGTCGGGCATGAGGTATTAAGAAAAGTAGACGTAACAGCTTGTTTTGACTTTTATATCAGATTTTCAGATGAAAATACAGTCTCCTATTGGATGAATTTATGGTGAGATACGATAATACTAGCTCCATTAACAATGTACAGTAGTTGGCCAACATCCAATATCCAATATCTTTTAACGAGCTAGTGCAAACCAGTTGATTTCTTCGCGCTCGCTTCTAGGTTTTGCGGAACGGTTCCAGGTCTTTGGTGGATTCCAATGCTGCTGTAGCTCTGGCTAACCCGAAGGGTGGTTGGGTGTTGTTTAGATTTGTAGGGAGTGTTTGTTTGCTTTTTCTTCCGAGGACTGTGGTTCAGATGGGTTCCTCAAATGTCGTGCCAGCAGACAATTAGTCGGACCGGTTGCTAAAAGGAGATGAAAAATGTTGGCAGAGAAATCAAGGGAGAGAAAGTGCAGAGAGAGACAAAATAGAAAAAGAAAAGGAAAAAAGGAAGAATAATATATGATAAAAAAAGATTAGGAAGAAAGACACGGCACGGAAGAATAAAACATTGGTAGGTTCATGGGGAATAGGCGATAGGCAGGGCCTTTGTTAAAGTTTGAGAGCGTGAAGTCAGAAGGAAGAATAATAAATAACATGATCGGACGAATGGAAATATAATAATTCTTTTAGTAGGAGACGGTAACTGGAGGGGGCGTCTACAGGAAGGTATAAGGTTGAGCCAAGCTCTCAGTGATAGTGGTTTTACAAAGTGTTCAATAACGGTTGGTCGTACCGAGTTAGTAAGTCGTGTTAACCTAGCCCACATCCCAGTTGGATGAGCGCAAACCGTGCATCATTGAGTAACTGTCAAACCCCTTCTTGAAGCTGTCAGAAGACGGAGCAGTAGCAATCTTGGCAGTCAATACGTTCCAGTGGCCGCAAACTCGTAGAGAGAGGTGTGATGGCACAAGGGTTTTCGCTGTTTGGTGAGCGATTCTCTTTGGGTTACCACGAGGATCGCCATAGTGGCCGTTCGGTAGGATTCCACTGTTCGGATGACTTGGGTTACTGAGTATTTTGTAGGCCGTTATCAAGTCACCTCGTAATCTACGATAGCTTAAGGAGTAGATCCCCAGATCTTTCAGCCTGTCCTGATATGTTTTTTGCCCCATCCCCACGACACCCTTTGTAGCTCCCTTTTGGACTTTCTGCAGCAGGCTCACGTCTCTTTTCAGATATGGTGGTGCAATGACGTTGTGTACCTCTAGGTGGGGTCGTATATAGGTCTTACGCAGCTTCAAAAAGAGTTCCGGGGTCAGGGCACCCAAATGCCTGCGCATGAAATGCAGTACTGCGTAGGCTCTGGAGGCATCTTCTGGATAATTGGGGCCAGTGTCTAGTTTGCCAGTTAGTACTAGTCCTAGGTCTTTCTCTGTGGTGGTGTGGGAGAGCTGTGTTCCATAGAGAGAGAATAGAGTACCTTATGAGAGTCTGGAGTGCGGAGAAATATGGCTCTGCATTTATCTAGGTTAAGTGCAAGTCCATTAATATCCACCCACTCTGCAAGTAATCTGAGATCACTTAGCAGCGCACTTGATTCTGTTTCTGACGTCACAGCTCTCCACAGCTTAATATCATCAGCGTAGAGTAGAATTGGAGAGCTGAGATTCAGTGGGAGGTCGTTCGCAAAAAGAAGGAATAGCAGCGGACCCAGAATCGCCCCTTGTGATACACCAAATGGTGATGTCCTCTAAGTCCAGCAAACTCTGTTGTCACTTGTACGGATTTGTCTACCGTCTAGATAGTCCCGCAACCTTGAAAGAGCTTGTCCCTTGATGCCCAACCTCTCTATTTCGTGAATAAGAACGGTGTGTGGAACTATGTCGAAGGCCTTAGTAAAATCCAGGAAAATAACATGAACAGGAATTTGGAGGTCCCAGAATGCCGTTCACCTATCACCTGCAGCCAGAATGTTTGTGGCACAGGACCTACACTTTCTGAAACTATGTTGGGCATCATCTGGTGCTCCCCTCTTTTCTAATTACTCCCTGACATGGTCTTCTACCAGGCTCTCCAGTACTTTCGACACCACTGGTAGAAGAGCTATGGGTCGGTAGCATTTTGGGTTCTACCTGTCTCCACCTTTGAAGTTGGGGGACAGAATATCACTTTTCCACTCTTGTGGAAGCATGTGATTGTCTAAGGAGTGTTAAAACAAGTTACACAGCGGACCGCACAAGGCAACCGCGTATTGTTTCAGCACGGCCGGTCGGATGTCATCACACCCTGGTGATTTTCCTGCGCAGAGCTTTGACAGTTTTTCGAGGACCATAGCAGGAGTTGCCTCTATTCCAGGTAACTCTACTGCGTTCGGTGCTGCTGAATTTCGGTCGGACGGTTGGCAGTTTTGGTTCGGTAGGGACGTATTGAGCTGCGCATCGAAGGTGGCGGCAAAGGCCTCGGCGACCTCTAGTCCGGAGAGGTTCTCTCCGTCTAGGCCTTTCAGGATGCAAGCCCCCTGGCTGGTGGATTTTGTGCCTGCCATAAACCGATGTAGGTTTTTGGGATATGCCTCCAGCTTTTGGTCAAGGTTCATCCGGGATGACCTCCTGTCTCCCCCACTCTAATGTTACATCGACTTCTTAGGGCAATATACACGGTGCTGTCAGACTATTTCATGGAGGTCCTCCACCGGTGACATGCTTTCCTCTTCGCTTTCAAAAGGCGTTCAGTGGCTCGCCTCAGCCATGAGGTTCGCTTCCACGATATCGCTGCGATTACTGGGACGTCTTCAGAGACAGCCCTCTTGACGATATCTCTGACTAGTTCATAATAATGGTCAATCGACAGGTTGCCGCACTCCTGAGGCCATGATGCTGCCGACAGATATTGGTTTATCGCCGCGTAGTTCGCTTTGTTGTAGCAAAGACAAGTCACATTACTGTAAAGACACTTGGCTGTGTTTCTAACGACATGGGGCATCTCGGTGCTGGCGAACTGGAGGGAGTGGTGCGTAGTGGTGGAACTTGCTACAGGACGGCCAGCTCCAGTGAAACCGGCCCAATCACTTCTTTTTCCATAATGGTTTATAGGGGTTACATAGAGTCCAGGCTTAATTGTGCATCTTGTCTGTTGACAGTGATGGTGACTTCAGCGGTGGGTGGCGCTGCCATTCGCTGTTGTCGCAATGTCCTGGGCCTGCTTCGTTGATTTCAGCGTTTAGGGCGCCTCGCGAGATACTTTTCTTGCTGACCAAGGGCGGTCTGGTCTGGCTCTAATGCTGGATGGCCTGTTGATGACTAGCGTGTGTGACATTAGCAAGAATCTTTCCGCTTCTTTATCCGAGCTTAGGGTAACTCTCATAGGCGGAGGCTTTCCCTGGGGTGGGTAGTTGCCTTTGTAGAGCCTGCACAGCTATGCTTCCAGGCTACCTGGTCCTAGTGTGGTGCACACGATTTCTTATTGCTGCTTGTCAAACGATTCTCTGTTCTCAAGGAGACTATCATGCCACACAGGGACTTTAAATAAGATGATGGAACTCGACCTGTCATCAGCTTCTCTATTTTCGTGTACTGTGGGTGGTTTTTCGTGGGAAGGGTGCACTTTCTTTCCCACTGTCACCCATTTTTCCCCTTGTACAGTGGGGTAAGCCCCTAAAGTGGCCTCAGAGTCAGGGACAAATGTAGTTAGTCGCATTCCCAGTCGTCGTTTTGATCCTTTTGGACTATTCACCTGTGTGACTGGCCGGGGTAAAGTGCTGACACTCTTGCTGCTTGGGCCTGAGGTACTGGTCTGTGTGGGTGTCGTCATCACAGTAGCCACTGAGATGTCTCTTACTACCTCCATCAGCGAGCCTTTAGAAAAGAGTGGCCTTATACGGCACTGTGGGCAGATGTACCAGAACCACGTGCACGAGTGGTGCTCTATGAAGGTGTAATATTGGTCTGGTATGTCCTCATCACACTGACTGTGCACCCACTTATTGCAGATGTCACACTCGAAGGCAGCATTCCTCTCGGCTACGATGAGATCACATGTATGACAGTCGTCACCCTGACCAGAAGATTTAGTTAACGATTTTCTTTTCCTTCTCTCACGTCTGTCAGTGGTTGCCTTCACGGGGCTGGTGGCACCAGAAAGACATGCTCGTCGATGAACCGCAGCACAAGGGTTCACAGGGATAGGAGTTTGACCTTTCGCAGGAAGTGGTTGTTGCAACCGTCCCCCCAAAGTCGACCAGTGGTGTTTTGCGGCGGCACTAAGCTTTTTGCCTCCGGCCCCCGTTACTACCACTGATGGGGAGGCTTGCGGCTGGGGTGAGGCTTTGCTTGAGATTTTCCTGATACCAGATTTGGTTAGGACTCGATTATTACTCATTTCTACTGGTGATTAGGGGGATATAAATGAGATAGATGGATGGTTGTATCAAGCAAAACGTAGAAAAGCAATGATGGATAGAGTAAGTTGTTAACCTCACCTAGAATTGCCCAGTTGTACGGCACGGAAGAATGCCCAAAGTTTTCCACAAGTCCAGAAGTATGTGATCGGATGAGATAAGTAGCGCTGCAGTCGCAGCAACCTGAGCTACAGCAGTTGATCGAGGCAGTTAGACCTACCACACAGTTGTCCGTTAGGAGAGTGATAGTATCGACCGACTGAGAGCTGTACGTTCTGTAGCAAAACGTTTTTCCAGTGAAGCTGTAACTTTCGCAGAGGGAATACCCGATTGGAAATGCTTATGTATAGTTATTTCCGAATAGAATACAAACAAGACAAAGCGCGTCAGTATTCAAGGAGGGCTTAGAGCGCTTAGAAGACTTAGAGTTATGGCATGGAATATCTCTGATACTAAGCTACATAGAACAGCTGATTTACTCACGCTCACTTCGAGGCCTTGCAAGGCGATTCTAGGCCTACTAATCAGTATGTTCCAAGACGCAGCCAGTTAAACACCATTTCATCTGTTCAAGTTGTTGAAATTAGCATGCATG